TTATGCCTTACTTGCCCATTTATTATTATATTGGCAGTTATGACTATTTAACACTGTTAAGGATTGTGCACTTGTTTCTGAAACAGAAGGGTATGCTGAAACTTTGTAATCTGCTTTGCCTTGGGTGTGAAAGGAGAAGAACAGGTGAAAAATAAATAGCTGCAAAGAGCAGATGCATCAAATCCCCGAGACCAAATAAACAGAGGGAGCGCCAGACTGTGAGCAAGAAATATCCTCAAGCACTGAGACAGAGAATCTCCTTTCACGCCAGTTACCCAGGGCCACTTGTAACACACATATAGATCCAGCTACCGACGCAGTGCCAAGCAGAAAATATATAAGCTCTACAGCTTAGGAGCTCAGTATCTTGTCAATATTACTGCTTGCCACATCCTAAACAGTTCCAATAACCAAGCTCACTTCTGTTCCTGGAAACAAATAGCTACCTTGTATCTCTCATAAGAAATCTGGACCCTGTCTGGTTCTGCTTCCCGGTTCCGAGGTCTTCAAGGCCTACTGCTAAAACTCATTTCCTCCCTTTTCCAAGATGCCAGCCTGAACCTCTACCTAGTACCTGCTACCCACCACCGTCCCACTCCCACACCAACCTGGCCAACTCCACCTGTCTGCACACTGTCTTTTGCTACTCTTATCCCTCATGCTGAGAGGCTAACTATAGTACCTCCATCCAGATTTCCAGGCCAGTGTTCTGGCCTCTCCATCTAGAAAGAGCTAATCCTGCTTGAGGTAAACCTACCTAGTAGTTGGATATCAAATTCTACCAAGTCACAGATCCATCATGATGATTACCAATTTACCTAAATTTCAATCACATCATATCAGGTTTTATTCCCTCTTTCTTTTCTGAACAGAAACTCTGAAAACTTTCAGATCTTTCACAACTTACACCAGTTTACCTAGGAACTGCTTCTGCAGCTGTCCTGTTCTCACACATATCAAGAATCATTACACCTTTCTTTGCCTATCTTCAACCTCTTGACATGACACCACTTTTTAAATACATTAGAAAATGGTATCATACTTAAAATACACTTAATGGAGGAAAATATTCCATGACACAGGAGAGGAGGGAAAAAAAAAATCACAGATTGGATTACTTATAAATAAAAATTTGAAGGTATTTTCAATTGGCAATATGGAATGAACTGAAGGCACTTCATGCTTTTCTTAACTTTCTTATCTTAAATGCCTTAAAATTTAGATCATCTTATTAAGTGAATAAGACATCATTTTACTTTGCTAACCCCTCATTTACGAGAGATATATGGCAAACTTCAGGCTAATTTCTATAGGAAAATATAAAATATTATGAATGTGAATTTTCACCCTAAATGTGATTTTATGGAATTATAACTATTCAAAGCTTGAACCCTTGGAAAAATCTGATCACGAGTACTTACTAATTAAGGAACACAACTGATTATTAGATTTGCTAGTGATCCAACTTCGTTTCTTTTTTAAATTAATTAATTAATTTTTTGGCTGCATTGGGTCTTCGTTGCTGCGCATGGACTTTCTCTAGTTGCAGCAAGCGGGGGCTTCTCATTGCGGTGTCTTCTCTTGTTGCAAAGACATGGACTCTAGACTCATGGGCTTCGAAGTCATGGCACGCAGGCTCGGTAGTTGTGGCGCACGGGCTTAGTTGCTCCGCGGCATGTGGGATCTTCCTGGACCAGGGCTCAAACCCGTGTCTCCTGCATTGGCAGATGTATTCTTAACCACTGCACCACCAGGAAAGTCCAATCCAACTTTGAAACAAAAATTTCCTAATATTCCTCTTTCATGCTCAGGATTAGTTTAATTGAAGTAAATCCTGAAATTGAAAGGTGAGCCGCCAGGAGGCAATTTCCAGTTGCCACTACTTATTTGTATGAATCAAGATTTTATCCAAAGAGTGAATCAAAGAAAAGAAATAAATCACTGTATTACAGAAGTACACATATTATCTCTAAACCAAGTATATATTTCTGCCCATTAACTGCCTCATAATTTAAACATGTTGACTTATATGTGAGGTGGTAAAAAATAATTTAAACTAAAAAGTTCATAACCTTATCTAAAATTAAGAGAAATTCAATCCTTAAAATCTGCTTACTTTTTCAGAAATAAAAATTTATATATAGTAACACTTCGTGCCATTTGCTTTCTGTCTTATTCCACTCCAAAATGTAGATCTGTACTTTTGGAATAAGAAATATAAGTATTGTCTTACCATCTTTTTCAAGCTCTCCCCAATTCTTCCACACAGAAGGCCTCAAATTTCCTTATGATAAGCATTCTTCCACATTTAATAAATGCAGAAACTAAAAACAGTGCTTTAGTTTAAGACAACATTCAAATAAGTCTCTACTAACACTCATCCCACTTAGTTTTTCCTAAACTTACTACCAATAATGAACTTTCTCACAGTATATCAAACTTTGGAAGTTATCTTCCTATTTCTGCATTGATACAAAATCATCTCATGCCACTGGTCCCTCAAAGACAATGTCATGCTTCTAACAAAGGTCAAACATTGAGAATTGTTTTTTCAAGTTGATGCAAGATTTAGGGAAATTTATTTGAAAATGAAAATAATAGCAACCAACATTGGCTGTTCTAAGCACTTTACAAGTATTAACTCATTCAATCCTCCTAACAACCTATAAGGTTGATAGTTTTATCCCATTTGTAGATTAAGAAACTGAAGCTCAGTCACAACAGCTAGTAGGTAGAAGAGCCAGGAGTTGACCTTAAACTGTCCCAGTTCAGAGCCCAAGCACGCTCTAACTCTCTAGCTGTACCACCTAAATGTTAAGAACCATCACTTAATAGGTATCCAAGTTATTTTGAAACGAAGAAATTAAAGATTTTTCATTTCGTGATGAACCAGATAAAATACCATGTAAATATTTTAAGCTATCGTCTTAAGTCATAAGAAATAAAGACTTCTGACAGCAAAACCAAGTATGTTAGGTTAATATTAAAGAAAAAACTCCCTTTAAATGATTTTGATAATTTTATTATGAATACATGACCAATAAATTTAAAGTACACACTCATATGACAATATCTGACAAATACCTTTCAAAAATTAACTGCAAATGCACCCAAGTAATCAACCTTTAAAACACATTCTGGGTAGTCAAGTTGAGAGTGTACAAACATCACACTTGACCAAGATAATCTGGCAACTCACCTAACCAGAACACAGCAAAGTCACTGAGAAAAGGCCTCCGAACAATCAAAATAAATACTCCAATGTTCAAGTATTGATACTCACTTTTCTCAAAAGAGGATCTCATAACTAAATAAGGGTCAACTCATTTTTACCCTTATGCAGAATTACAAATTTGATTTCTGGAGGAAAAAATGGCGTAGAAAAATTACCAGTGGGAAGGTGAAGGGGGACACCGATCACAGTGACAAGCACATCCAATAGGGAAGCAGAAAAATGCTTACTTAATAACTTCAAAACGCAAAGAAATCTGATCTACAGTCCTATATACAATCCAACAGATCCTCACGGCCCACAGTAACTGATGGTCACAAATGATGACCCTAGGTCATCAAAAGATTTAATTATATTCTGCATCCTACTTAAAACAGAAAAGAATACCATATTTAATTTTAGTATGATTTTCACTCAAAGTTGTTTTATAATTTGAAGCTTAGAGGATAAACCCTCAATTACCCAGTAAGCTCAACTAATAAATTAGAAAGAAATTCTTGGAAAGTTCCAAGTAGCAAAGGTTTCACTGTTTCTAAGTTTAAGAGCACTATGTGTACAAAAGTTACCTGAGAGCAAAAGGGAGACAGGAGAGCACAGAAGTAGAAAGTCTAAGAAAACAAAGAAGAGCTAGGCGACTGTCTATAAACGTGCTATCCTTAAGGCATTTCCCACAAAACAGTGTGTGGGCAGTAGGTGCCACATCAGCAGTACTCTGTATTTGTCCTGCTCCTAAATCATTTGTTAGTTTCATGAATTATTAATTTCAGTTAATAGTTTGTTGAGATGAAGCAGTACCAACTCTTTCCTCAGCTGCAAGAAGTGATAGCGTCCTTCTGATTGCTCTACAAAACCAACACTGGGATTACTCTTACAGAGCATGCATATGCCTTACGGTGGCACACATTTGATTAAAAAAAAAAAAAGTTCTCTTTTAAACTGATTTTCATTTTTAAAGGATTCAGGGAGATAGTGCCTAGCCCACACCGAACTTTGTTATCAAAAACATTGTTACACTACTCAACAAAACTCCCTTTCAAACCAGGCTGCAACACATTCTTTCTCTAGCTCCAAACAAAAACTTTAAAGCACATAGTAAATAACATATAAGGCCTTGTACTTTTCTCCCCTTCTAGCGAGGAAGTCTAACTCCAAACAGGAAACTGCTTCTCAAAGGACTCAACGCAGAAATCCTACCAAACGCCAATCCAGTTCTCAGGAAGAGATTTAATATTTAAGTGCCAACACACTTGCCCAGGTAGAAACGGAGTAAATACTCAAGCTTCCCTGCCCTTGAGGCACCCCTTGGAAGTTCTAGCAGGGAAAAAAAATTTTTGCCTTTTCTAACGAACAAACTACAAAATGCTTTAAAAGGCCAATCTATACAAAGGTTCACAGAAGATAAAGAAGTTGAAAGTGCTAGTTTGTCAAGTTTTTCGATCACCCTCCCCCATCCCACCAGGATCGGGGAGGAAAGAAGGGGCTAGGGAAGAAGGAAGGTTCGGGGCTGAGCGGAGCTAGGCGCGGGGCGAGGTGATCGGGCGCCCCCCCCCCCAATCCCCTCACCTTTCCCGGGACCAGGTAAAGAGGCAGAGAGGAAAGTACGAGATGGTGCACTTCTCCGCCAGAAGAGCAAGGTGGAAGGCAGGGCGAGGAGGGGCGGCGGGGAGCGAGCCGTGTGGCCGCGCAGGGACCGACCCCCGCCCCCTCCCCGCCGAGATCGAGAAGGGGAACCGTCTCCCCAAATCGGGAGCGTCCTCGAGTCCCTTACCCATGCTGGGGGCTCCCGCGGGGAGCAGCCCGGCGCCCGCCGCTCCTCCTCCGGCTGCTCGCGCGGCCGCTCCGGCGGCAGGAGGCGGGCCCTCCGCTCGGCTCTAGCCCGGCTGAGCTCAGGCGGGGCAAGAAGGCGCCTCCATCCGCCCGCGGCGTTCCCTGGCCAGTCCCGTCCGCGCCACCCGTGAGGAACAGGCGGCGGCCGCTCGTCACTCGCGGCGGCTGGAGCGCCCTCCCCCGCCCGCCCAGCCGGCGGCTTCCCCACCCCCGGTCGCTCCCGCCACGGGGTGGGACCTGCCGGTTCGTCGTGGCCGCCGGCTCCAACCCGGAGCGCCAGCCCAGCCCCGGAGCCCGCCCCCCCCGCCGCGCCCTCGGCGCCTGCAGTCCTCTAACGCGACGCCAGAGACTGAGGTGGAGACGGGGACAGAGGCCGGGAAGGTGCCGGGAGCTGGGCCGGGAGGAGGAAAATCTCGCGAGAATCCTCGGTCCTCCCTGCCCCGCCCCCGCCGCGTTCCGGCTCACCGCCTGCCCCCGGCGGCTGCCAGGTGCGGTGACGTCATGGCCAGGGGTCGCTCGCCGCCCGCGTCCAGGTGCGCGGAGCGGATGGGGGAGCCGTGCGGCACAGCTGCGACAAGTCCTCCGCCCTGAAGTTCGAAGCTGCTGGGACAGGCGTGTTGTGTGGTTTGTCGCTTCAGATGGATACGAAGAGTTTTTGCTGATAGGCAAATGAGCCTGGGTTGCCCCACTTTGCAGTGTTGCTGCAGCAGGCTTTGGGGAACCTAAAAGAAAAGAGACCGCGAGAGAGAGATGCAAGAGGACAGAAATAGAGAGAAAAACCGTTTGCTTTCGAACTTTAGAGGTCCAGCTGCAATCAGAACCCGCGGCTTACCTTGCAAAGTTCCGCATGAATCAGAAGCATTTCTTAGTCGGAAAAAAATCCTAGGCACAGAGTAAATTCTATTTTACAGGATTAAATTATTGGGTTCCTTTAGTCTCTGTCCGCTGAAGACCACTTTCTAAATCCCTTTTCTCCTTCGAAAGTATAGTTTAAATTGTTACCTGATGGGGAGGGGGGAGCAGATCGGGATAGTCATGATTTGAGAGATTGCCTGGCATTTTTTTCTAGCCTGAATATGAAAAAGAGCATAGGATTATTGTAATCAGACATGACACTTTCTTAGAGTTAGAAATATATATAATTAATTCAGCCAGGGACTTCCCTGGCGGTCCAGTGGTTAAGACTCTGTGCTTCCATTGCAGGGGGCATGGGTTCCATCCCCGGTAGGGGAACTAATAACCCACATGCCAAACAGCTCAAAAAGAAAAAAAAAAGTTCAGCCAACTTTTTTCCTCTACTGTTCAAGCAAACCCAGTTCCCGGACAGACGCTTGTGAGAGCAACATTTGTTGGTGCTTTTTAAAGCTTTGTCACTTAATTCTCACAAGCATCCAGGCAAACCCGGGTTTCTGAAACTCAGCACAGCCATTTATTTTTTGTGGGACTTTGGATAAATTAACCTTGCTGGATTTCAGTTTCTTGAGTCTGTCGAAAGAAATCTTTATAGTGCAAAGCACAGTGTCTGGCACATAGTAGCAACTTTGTAAATATCCATTTCCACTATCTCCTATAGGCCTGCATTTGCCATCCTTTAATCTTTTATTTCTAAAAAGATTACATAGGGTACCTTTTTAACAGGAATTGTCCATTACAATCAGAGACCAAAAAGGATAAAAGAAAAATATTTAATATGCACACCCAAAAAGATGTACATATTGGCTGTGTTGTACTGAAACCATGAAACATATTGTGACTTTTTTCAGTCAACAAATATTTATTATTATGTTAATTGTCCCCTTCTAAGCAAACAAATAAACAAACCAAAAAAGCTGAAGTCCAGCCCTTACCCTCAAAGATTTTGAATTCTAACCAGGAAGTGAGACATGAACAGATAGTTTATTAACAGTATGAGGTAGAGAGAGTCAAATTCCTGAAAATTTAAAGGAAAATTACTATGGGCAAGGCAAGCTTCAGGGGGAAGGTATAAATTGAACTAAAGCATGGAGGAAGGCAATAATTTCAACCTGGAGGAGTCCTAGAAGTAAGGAGTGAAAGTGGAAATGCAAACGGAATATCTCTGAAACTTGTGTGGCTCCTGCAACCCATAAGAAAGCAAACAATTTAAACTTTGAAAAAATGAGGCTGATGGGAGGCAAAAGAGGATTCATGGAAGGAGGTAAAGAAAAAGATAAGATATTGGAAGAGAACTAAATACCTTGGTCTCTAGGATCCTAGATATTTTAAGAAGAAAGGCCAATGAATAGAAACGAAGAGAGGGTAAGGAAAACAAACAGAAGAAGGGAAAAGAGAACTCTGGATTTGACAATAAGGTTACCTTTGAAAGTATAACTTCAGAATATACGTGACAGAATGTGTAATATATATAGCTGCATATATTTAGAATATATAGAATAGAAAAGTTAAAAGTCAGTTAAAGGTTTCAGTGACTAAATGAGCGATTAAGAAGTGAGGCCATGGGTTTCCCTGGCGGCGCAATGGTTGAGAGTCCGCCTGCCGATGCAGGGGACACGTGTTCCTGCCCCAGTCCGGGAAGATACCACATGCCGCGGAGCGGCTGGGCCCGTGAGCCATGGCAGCTGAGCCTGCGCGTCCAGAGCCTGTGCTCCGCAACGGGAGAGGCCACAACAGTGAGAGGCCCTCGTACCACAAAAAAAAAAAAAAAAAAGTGAGGCCACAAGTAGATAAGGTAAACATATTATTTTAACCAAAAGTCAGGTCACATAATCTGAAAAGATAAAGTATCTATCAGTACAATCAGTTATAGCCTAGAAATCTCAGGATCTGTATTATTTCCACCATAAACCATGTATTTTAGAAGTCTGAAAATTAAAATAAGCAAAATCACTTTGGAAATTCAGAGGGCAATACCCCATTGAGGTGACGTTGACATATTGGATCATAAAAGAAATTGGAAAGATCAGGGAATAGGACAATAAGAAAGGTTGAGAAAACTGAACTAAAGCTAGGAAGTAATCACAATCCCGGAGTTAATGCTGTCTTTCAGAGGTGAAGACAAAGGACATCCCAATGGAAGAATGAAATCTAGAAATGTATTTTTTAAACTTACAAAATGGTATGTGAAACTATGTTCTAAATTTGTGAGTACTGAGCAATTGTTAGCTATTAATTACTCCATGGAGCTCGTTTCATCTTATAAGTCTTACCCCCTCAATGAGGCCTTTAAAGTGTGGCACTATGTTTTATACATTTTTATGTAACTAGCACATCACTCAGCTCAAAACACTGCTTTCCTCAGTAGTAACTATTAGTTGGATGATAAAAAATATGGTGAGATGATAATCTCATCATATATTTAGATTTAACCTCAAATTCCTTTCAGCTAAAAACAAATTACCTTTTCTTTTAGTCTTTATTTCCTTTATCTTATAATGAATTAGGATTTATTTATCCATCTATACTCACCCTTCTTTGTATTCTAAGACAAATGAACTAATACCATTCTTTTTTTCTTTTCTTTTTTTTTTGGCCATGCCATGCGGCTTATGGGATCTTAGTTCCCTGACCTGGGATCGAACCCAGGCCCTTGGCAGTGAGACTGCTGAGTCCTAACCACTGGACCACCAGGGAAGTCCTGACTAATACCATTCTAATGACTCACTTTCTTTTTTTTTCTGCTGAATATTGATCTGGTATGAAAGAGAATATTACAATTTCTGTGAGAATGACATAATTTCCACCAATCTAATTCATTCTAGACTGCCATCATGTCTTCCTGATGTTTTCTTAGGAATTTATCAGAAGATATCTATATTGAAAAAACCATCTACCTTCTTTCCTTCTGGTGAAAGCTATTCTAACCAGGAAGATTATTCTAAAGAAAATTAAATATTAACTTGATTGTGTTATTTTTAAAACACTGATTTAGCTCAAATCTTAGAGACAACTAATTCTTTTCTTTATTCTCAGTTCCACAGAGCTAGATTTCCTAGCCAGCATTCTTATTGTTATTTTGTTTTGCCTTGGCTAGTTTACTGTATACTTCAGCACAAATTACATCAATGTATAACCTGAACTTTTAAAAATCATTCTTTAGAAAATAATTGAAGGAAATAATACTTTCAAACACAATGCCTATACTGTGAGGTTAGTGAAGCTAGAAAATGTCCCTGCTCAAACTGGAGCCATCAGCTTCTAACAAACTCCTGCTACTCTGTTAGCAATTTGGGGCATGTGCTCAAACATATGGTCTCTCTAAGCACTTTTCATTATTGCAAATAAGAAAAAATTTAGTTAAAAACATGATGAGGGACTTCCCTGGTGGCAGTGGTTAAGAATCTGCCTGCCAGTGCAGGGGACATGGGTTCAAGCCCTGGTCCAGGAAGATCTCACATGCCGTGTAGCAACTAAGCCCATGCACCACAACTACTGAGCCCACACTCTAGAGCCCGTGAGCCACAACTACTGAGCCCTCGTGCCACAACTACTGAAGCCCACGTGCCTAGAGCCTGTGCTCCGCAACAAGAGAAGCCACTGCAATGAGAAGCCCGCGTCCCGCAACGAAGAGTAGCCCCCGCTCGCCGCAACTAGAAAAAGCCCGCGCGAAGCAACAAAGACCCAATGCAGCCAAAAATTAATTAATTATTTTAAAAATAGGCACTATTACCAATAAATAAATAAATAAAAAATAAAAACATGATGAGCCCATCCAAATGAATCACTACTTTGCAAACTGAAAGGACCTTTTAAATAATGTTATTTGTACTTTATTCGGATGGTAGTGTCATTACAGAGCTGGTGGTTGGTAGGTAAGTCATAGAGCCTTGTTCTAAGTCCTCAAAGAGAGTCTCTTTCAAGAAGCATTACTTTTTCAAAATGTTAAAGCTAGTCTCCTTTGAAGGGTCAGATATTTTAAGCAATTCCAAATGACAAATACATTTGCATTTTTCAAATATCAGGCAATTCAATTATATACACAATATCATGTGAAGAATTTCTGGCCCTGAGTACACATTTATTCAACTCAACGGACATTTACTGACCACCCATTATAGATCAGCACCTGCTCTGTCATAAATATAGAGATAGAAAATATAGGGACTTCCCTGATGGGCCAGTGGGTAAGAATCCATGCTCCCAATGCAGGGGGCCCAGGTTTGATCCCTGGTGGGGAAACTAGATCCCACATGCATGCCGCAACTAAGAGCCTGCATACTGCAACCAAAAAAATTTTTTTTAAATTAAAGAAAACATGCCGCAGCGAAGATCCCACATGCAGCAACTAAGACCCAGTGCAGCCCAAATAAATAAATACCAAAAAAAAAGAAAATATAGTCCCTGCTTTTTTTTTTTTACACTTAGGTTGCTTCCATATCTTTTTTTAATTTAATTTT